GTGTGTGTGTGTGTGTGTGTGTGTGTGTGTGTGTGTGTGTGTGTGTGTGTGTGTGTGTGTGTGTGTGTGCACGTGAGTGCGTGCGTGTGTGTGTTACCTAAGTTGACCTTTGGAGGCAGTGCGTACTCCTCGCTGCCCTTAACAGCCTGGCTGGGGGGGGCGTTAGTGGTCATCTGGACCCAGGGGGGGGCCTGGTACACCACATTCACTGGATTGAGCCCCGGGGAGGGGCCTCCACCAAACCCTGCGCCTACACACACATGATGTTAATTCTGCATCACATTACCGATTGTACGATACGATTATACTTTAATGTCATGTCTTTTAAAGAAAAAAGGATAGAAATATTTATCTGTCAGGCACCTGAGCAGCAGCCATGTTTGGGGTCCTTCGGGGAGTCGGCCAGCAGCCTCTCGTTGGTGTCCTCGCTCTCCACCAGCATCGCGGTGAGTGGAGTGACGAACTGATGCTCCACAGCCAGCGCCATGATCCTCTGAGTGATCTTCCTCTTCTTCACCGCCGTGGGAGCCAGAGCCCTGCAGGAGAGACACAGCTGATCACACTGGCTATCATGCAAACACCTGTCACACTCCTGCAGGAGAACATGTTTCATACAGACGTAATAAAGAGCCATTGGTGTTTTGTTTTTGTATTTAGATTTTCCTATTTATTCATATTAGGACGCTTCATTCCTTAACTTCTTTCTTTCTTTTTTTCATGACTTTTGCTGTGTTAATGTCATATCATTTAGTAAATGTTTTGATTTTGGAAGTTCACCTTCAGATCCTGTATTCAATGTTTGTGCAACAGTGGCATTGTGTAAAAGAAATGGCATTTTACGGATTACAATTCAGAACATTTATGAATAATTAGTTGTTGTGATCAGGACTGAAGATATTTATTTCCAATGAATATTCTTGTTTCTTGATTATTTATCCAACAGTTCTCCGTTTCTCTGCAGGCCTCTCACCTCTCAGAGATCAGCTGTTTGACGGTGATGTAGGCCCACATCTGTCTGGCGAAGCCCGTGAAGGAGTGCTGCTGCTTGGCCAGCTCCGTGTCCAGCTCCGTGAAGTCTCCCTCCGTCTCAAAGGTGACGTCCAGACGGGCCTGAGGGAGCACACAGCACAGAGGACACTGGTGGTGCTAAATCTGAACGTCTTTCCTTCAGCAATGGCCTTTAACCCTTTATTTCTAAACACATGTATAATTCTATGTGGGAATTGAGATTTGTGTCAACATTTTTAGCAACCTGAAGAGGAAAAACGGTGTAGTATTTCACACAAAAAGAAAAGATTCAGGAAAAGTTGATTTGAAATGTGTGAATCGATTCTTTCGGCAGAAAAAACACAGTTGGAATTTAATGGACAATTCTCACAGGTGTGGAATGGTGTACAGAACTTGTAAATGGAGGTGTTTCTTAATAATCTATTGGTAATCTGAAGAGGTACAACTCAAAAAATCACAAGTAAACATTTGAAATGTTAATGTAAATTGCATTTTACTCACGGCGCGGGCGGTGGTGAAGCTGGTCAGCGTGTTGCTCTCCGACGGCTTCACTTTCCCGGCCACCACCAGCTCCGAGCCGCTGAAGTACTTATCGAAGCGGTTCTGGGTGACGTCTGACACCGAGTCCTCTGGGAACTGAACCTGGATCGTCCTCAGCAGGGGGGAGGAGACCTGGCGGTAAAACGCCTGTAGGGGGAGGAGGAGGAGGGAGGCAGAATTAGATGCTGGAATGAAATATTTCCCTCCCTTTTCTACATAATATATATATATATTACTTTGAACAATTGAACATAATTATGGAATCAGCAACAGAGTGAGAGAGGGTCAGCTTGGTTTTTATCATGGCTGCATGGAGACCAGACCATGACTTTTGCCTTTTTTCATCAACTATAGATATCCCATCTGAAATTTGTAGCAAAAAGGGTAAAAAAAACTAAAAAAAAAGTCGAGAAAAGTGAGAAACATAAACAGACCAACAAAGTGAAAAGGTTGACAAAAAATCAAGTCCGGAACTGTCCACAAAAGGGAAAAAGAAGACAGTATAACAAATGGAAAAAATACAACAGTCAAAAAAAGTGAAAAATATCACAAGTCGAAAAAAGTGAAAATATCACAAGTATGTTTTTGTCTAAATATAACAAACGTATGTTGCTTGGAGCTCATTCCACTTCCAAAGACAGAGATGTATCTACTCGTAGTGTTAGGTTTGTGTACCCGGAGCTGCTCTGCTGCATCGTGGTTGGCGTAGATCCTCTGAGCCATGCCTCTGTTCTCCATGGCGATCCGCTCCAGGAAGTCATAGTCCACGTCGAAGCCGATGCCCAGCGAGAAGAGAGAAAACTCCTCCCTCATCACCCGCTTCACATTCTTCTGGATGGTGCCCAGCTTGATCTCTCCTGCAGAGAACGAAATATCATCTCAGTGACTAAAGACACAAGACTGTGTTTTAATAATGACATGTACAATCACCTAGCATAGAGACATTGCATCCGTCTTTCTTCCTCTCCTTTTGCTTTATTTGGATCTCAATGACTCCCCCTGTGTCACCTTGGGTTCTTTAAGAAACTTTGTACGTCTTAGATGCCTCAACAGTTAACAACAAATCCCTTAAAGTAAGGCCTATTCCTTGGCCAATTTTCAACATTTCTGCACAAAGTACCTCTTTTAAGGGCTGCATTTAGACGTTGAATCAGATATATTAAACCTATTTTTACATTATTTTGTCGTACCTTTCTTTGTAATATTCCCCCATTCTATACAGTAATTATTTTTCTTGATGTTTTTACTTGTTTAGACCCACACATTTTAAATAAACTGCACAGTTTTTTCCTTTGAATTCAGACGTATTGTACATATTTTATGGTTAATATCCTCCATTATGTTTTAGTTTCATTTGATTTTCTATTAAATGTGTTCACACAACAAAACACTCGAGGCATAAACCCGATTTTGATTCTAAAATCTATTGAACATCAGTCCTACCCACGGTGGGGTCTCCGTCAGACACCAGGATGATCATGGAGACGGAGCGGGGGTCGATGAGCCCCTGATTGGACGCCCTCACCAGCATCTGCACAGCTCTCATCAGAGCCTCGTTAATGTTGGTACCTGCGGTCAGTAGAATGTGGTCGTTAACACACCAATGTTCATGTTCACCAGGGTCTCAGAGCGACCTCCCACGAGATTAAAGAGTCGTTTTCTCTCACACCTCCGTTGGGTTTGATGTCCTGGATGTATCTCTTGGCGTCTGCGATCTGAATGGAGGATCCGGCCACCAGCTCTTCGTTCCAGCAGCGCACGTTGTGGTTGAAGTCGATGATGCTGAAGTGGTCGTCTATGGCCATGTCCTCCAGAATGGCCTGCATGGCCTCCACTGTCTGAGAGAGCAGAGGGGATTAAATGCACTTCTTAAAATGCAGAATGATCGCACAAAAGAAACGCACCCTTTTTCTGATTGAGAAAAATTGTTTAAATATGCTTTTGCTTTTAAAATGCACATTAAAGTGTTGTTTGCTGAGAACGAGAGTTAATGTGCTTGGTAATGCTCTACACATTACCAAGCACATTAACTCTCGTACTGTACTTAAATGCATATTTGAGGTACTTGTACTTCACTAGAGTTTTTTCTTAACTGCCACAACTATTTGGATAACAAATGTTTTGAGAGTTTTTTAGAGAGCCAAAAATTGTTTATAGAAATCCAGTCTTTTAATAAATGTGATTTTGAAATTGGCCATAATTCAGTACATTCACCTTTTTGTACTTTAAGGACGTTTCAATGCCAATACTTTTGTACTTTTACTTAAAGTAAGACCTAGAAAGAAGGACTTTGACTTTCAACAGAGTGTATTTACAATTATTCATTAATGATCCTTTTACTTAAAGTGGACCTATCATGCTATATTTGAATAATATATTGTAGGGCCATACCTACATGTCTGCGATTTTTTTTGTTCAAAATACCAAACAGATCATGCATTTTAGCCATGCCACATTTCGCTCTATTTGCTCTTTTTTAGCCCTGTTTTTGCAAGGGCTGAATCTGTGAGAAGTCTTCTTCGCTGCTTTTGTGGCAGACTACAGCGCCACCTACAGGCCTGGCATATGTACTACAGCGTCTCCAGCGCTTTTGAACGGCAATGGCCGTGGCTGTCTCCTCCTGATAGGTAGAGAGTTGCCCATATAGGCGGAGCTCCTCGTTTCTGACGTCAGAGAATTTTCCAAATCTGTATCAGTCTGTATCAGATCCGTTGCAGCCCCGTTTTTAGAGACTTGGGTATGGAGGAAAAGAGAGAGGGTTGTGTTTTCTGACACTTGGTGAGTTCCCGGACACACCGGGGACACATATTCATGTAGAAGGACGTACAAGAGTGCATTTTGCATGATAGGTCCACTTTAAGTAAAACAAAGAACTTCTTCCACCATTGCTGTCAGTACAATTACCATTTGCCCTTACTTCATATGTACTATTGCATTCCGTATGCATACAATTGGGACATAGTACACAATGCAACCTGATGCAGTAAGACATCCAAGTGTTTTCTATGTATTGGGACATACTTTATCTTTCTGGCATACTCAATAGTTTGGTAGTGTGGGTCAAAGTGCACAAAACTCCATGTCAACAAACGACTCACTTGCTTCATCTTGACTCCCCACATGGATCCGCTGACGTCAATGACGAACACGATGTTTTTAGGGAGAGGAGAGAGGTTGGAGGGAGCAAAGAACTGCACGAAGTGGCCGTCTGAGACCTGGAGGAAACAGTAAAGGTGTGATCATCTCCAAAAGTGTTTGTGGCCAGATACGACATGAAGCAAGTTCATCATTGAGGCTTTAAAGATAACATACCTGTAGTTCTCCGGCATTGCCTTCCCGGGTCACATCATATCTGACGGTGAAGATGCCGTCTATAGCGCTTCCAGTGCAGTTGTCACATTTTCTCTGCTGCTGGAGGCTTGGCTTGAAGACAATATGAGCCTGAGGACAAAGACAGCACATGATTAGATATAATATGCTACAAATGAATCATCCATGACAAAAAAGGGTAGGTTTTTGGTCTTGTGTATGTATGTGTGATGTTTAAACAATTGTTTAATGCAAATATCGTCACCATTTGACCATTTATAAAGAAAAAACAATGAATGAGACGCAAAAATAAAACAAAATCCCTTTTCAGAGGCCAATCATGGGCCTTAATATTTAACATCAAGTATTTTTGTCAAGCAAAGAATAAATAAAAATACATTGGATGCCTCCTTTCTGTCATTACAGGGTTTAAAAAAATGTTTTTTAAATACTTTTTTCATAGAGTTTTTCATACTTTAACCCATCATTGGTCAATTTAAATGTCCAGAAGTCAGTCAGGATTTTGCTCAACTGTGCATAGCCCTAATATTCCCAAACACGCTTCAGGTTATCGTAAAAAAATCGTAGCACTATCGTCAGAACAGCTATTTGTACCTTGATTCAGATAAAAATTATCTGCATTTTTTGTATCCCTCTGGGTGTTTTCCAGTCTTACCTTCTCTTTGGTCGAGGTCACTTTGATATTCCCTACAAACTGCTCTCCGAGGGTGTTTGGTGCTTCTACCATGGAGATTCCATTGGGCTCAAAGATGTACACATCCACCTGAGGAGAGACTGGGTCAGGGACCATCGGTATAAGATATTCAGACCTGCAAACGTACATTTATTACGATTTTTCTCACCTGGAACTGAGGCACCAGCCTCCCAGGCTGCAGGAACAGCGAGTGCTCGTAGAAGCCCAGCCTCCTGTGCATCATCTCCTGGTAGTGCAGCTCAAACTCAATGTTACTGCCAGGAGGAACATGCACTTCTGTTTTAAACGTCTCCATGTCCTGGGAATTGGCCCTGGAAAGCAGCAAGATTTAAGTGAGCATGATCATTGTTGGATTACTGGGCATAGCCACATACAGAATGTCTCTCAAAGGGACACGTTGTGATTCTCCAGAAAGAGAAATAAAATGACCACAAAGAAAACGAGAACAAAGACACACAAAAAACCTTAAATGGACAATAGCAGCTATAAATAGATGCAAAACAGAGACACAAAGAGACTCACAAAAGCTATTAAAAATAGGTAAAGCAAACACAAAGAGACACAAAATGATAAGAATAAGAAACAAAACCGCGAGAGATGAGAAAAGCTGCAAACTGACACAAAATATTAACAAAAGTGACTCAAAATGACAAAATAAAGATACAAAACAACTCCAGAGACTTAAAATGTATATGGAGACACACAAATAAAGCTATGACATTCAAAATGACTATGAAGAGACACAAAGTAGCTTTACAAAACGAATGAAACGAATGGAGGCAAATCAGCCATAAAGTATGTGTGTTTCCCTCCTAAACTGAATGAAAGCTGATTTGTAGTCTGTCTGTCCCCTTGCTGTTTCAGCTCCAGAGGCCCAGCAGTACCTGACGATGCCCGCTGCCTTGCCTCTGGCTCGGGCCTGGGCGTACAGGTTCCTGGCCACCGTCTTTTCCTTCACCGAGCCCACGAATATGATCCCGTTCACATTCCTGCAACGAGAAGAGAGCGGGGGTTAAACTCTGCACACTCTCCGTGACAGCAGCTGGGACTGGAAAAGGCCTCACATGGTGAAGTTAGTGATGAAAGCTCGTTTGGGGATCTGCACGTTGAAGCCGATGCTCTGGGCCTTGGAGCCCGAGTTGAGCACGGAGCTCCGGACGGTGGTGTGGGCGAAGCGGGACGTGATGCGGCTCTCCACCTTGTAGCTCTTCACCGTGATGTCTTCACCACGGATCGCCTGAGAGGATAAGGGAAGAATTAGGATATTAGAAACAGGAGGAGGTTTTTAATTCTTTACTTTCTCTGACTTGGACCACCTTTTCTTTTGGAATTTGTGCCATAATATTCTACACCTATCTTAATATTGAAGAGATGTCTTTCTGAGTTTTGTCTTAAAAAATATGAAATTTCAAATAATGATGTAATAAAAGGAAGACAATTGGGACCTTTTTATTCTGCTGCAGTGTTATTTAATGTATAAGATAAGATAAGAAGTACTTTATTGATCCCAATTTAGGATTTCTTTTGCGTTGCAGCAGCATAAAAAGAATTAAAGGACTAGAAATAAACATTCCAAAATGTAAAAATCTCAATAGAAATAAAACAGCATTATAAAAAAAGTAGAAAATATACATGTTGAATTACAAATGTACAGAAACAAAATATAAAGCAGGATATTATATATACATACATATGTGAGGAATGGAATACTAAATAGTATATTGAATATAAATGAAAAATGTACAAGCTGCATATGGTAAATTGTTGTTGTTGTTCTTTTTACTATTATTATCTCAATGGATTCCAACTATGTGCCACAAAACCACACAAACTGTTATTCCTCTTTAAACATCCCCTGAGGTTTGTATACATTCAAAAAACTTTAAAACAATTCCATTGGTTTATTTATTCTGCATTTCCTTCTATTACGTCTTCCAAACCCAAGTGTCTTGATGTAACACTTCCCCTAAATGTGATCAAAGCAGCTGACTGTCCCAGTGATTAGATTTTTTTTTGGAAGAGAAAGACAGACAGAAAAGGGAATGAGAGCAGGATTATTTCAGAACAAAGTCAATAACCCGTCAGTCACGGGAGTCTCTTCAAACAGACGCATATCGACTGTGAGATAACGGTCAACTCTGTCACAGAGGAGAGGGCTCCAACAACAAGAGTCCTACCTCAAAGTCTTCCTGCTCCTCGCTGGTCAATATGGCTCTCTGGAACACACACACACACACACACACACACACACACACACACACACACACACACACACACACACACACACACACACACACACACACACACACACACACACACACACACACACACACACACACACACACACACACACACACATACAATGATTATGATGAACAAACTACGGTTATTTAGACACATGTGTCACAGGTTACATTCAGGATCAGAGCAGGTCTTTAGGATGATGCTTTGTACATTTTTTGCGCAATCCATAAGAACCACACTGTGGATCAATGATTATTGCAACATCAATGAGAAAACTATTTAGAAATGAATATAAATGAGAAAAATTAGGCACTTTTCTGAAGGAAATCTCACCTTGTGCCTCTCCCGATGATCCCGCATATCTGACTGGGGGCAGAAGGAAAATCTGATTTTAAAAACATATAAAATGACCGATGTTGGCGACATAATGTATGCTTGAGACGTGTGAATTTCAATTGGATTTACTTACATTTACAAAAACTGAGATATTAACTGACATGTTAGCAGTACAAGATAGTTGGGTTTAAAGGTTAAAGGTTAAAGGTCAGGGCAAGCCATTACATTTAATTTAAAAACAGATATAAACATAAGAAAAAATGTTTGTCTTAATACTGATGAAAAGCAATCAAGCAGCATTAGGTGAATAATACTAAATATTTGTATTTTTACAGCAACAGTTCAAAAAGAAGACATATGAGGTTAAGAAATGCTATAGTTCTGCTATATAAGGGTGAGCTTTTAAGGGAGTTTTTAAAGTCAAAAGTCAGGTCAAATATTTGTATTCCATGTAAATAAAATTCCCACATAGACTAAAAGAAAACCCCTCCAATTTAAATGATTCCCTACTCTTTCAAGACATTAAACAAATAAACACTTCCCTATTAATTGAGTCTCGATTAAGTGTGAATCATAACATCCCATAGAAAGGAATATAATACAACAATATAAATAAAGATATGTCATGTCCCTGTGCCAGACATTTAAATAGACCCAAGAATCACTAACAGATGCAGAGTTTATTCACATTCAACAGAACAAACATTTATGTTTTGGCTTTCTTTCACTTTGACATGTTTTTGATATCTTTCTAAAAAGTGGGTTAAGCTTTGTTTTGCAAATGTAACGTTTCTCCAAGTGCCTGTAAACTCACCACGTCCTCCTCCCATTCTCCATCTATCACAAACTCAAAGCAGCAGGCCTGTTGGAGCAGCAGGAACCCGAGGAGCAGCAGAAGATGCCTCATGTTTCCTACACACACACACACTCACACACATATAAAACAATAAAACAGCGCTGAGAGACAGACGGTCCTTCTGAGCTGAAAACTGAAGGTTAAAATCCACTGAACTGATCGACTCCCAGCCCCAGTCAATATTTGTTGTGTTTCATGTAGAGAGGAGAAGGAAACTTTGAAACTTGACCTGCAGTGTGGGCAGGGTAAATAACACACAGATTAAACACTAATACAGATTGTTTTAACGTATGGGACTTGGATATAAAAGTCACAATTTTGATGCACATTTGGCCAGATATCATTATGTTGAGTTTCTAATATAGAGGTGGCAGTTTTTTTTTATAATTTAAAAGGCACAAAGAATTACATTTCAATGCACATATCCTGAGTTTACAGGAGAAAGATGTAATGTGGCGTTATGCCCACAAGATGGCACTAAAGTGGTCCTTTAGCGAAGCCACTACTGTATGTCTCTTTATTTACAGTAAAAATGCATTAGTGGATGTTATAACTGTCAATTTGAGTATTAGTAAATGCTTATTTTAGGGAAATATCATGTTTGTTCACAGTGTCACTGAAAAAAACCAAATTTGAAATGCAAAGTAGGAATTCATTCTTATTCTTTTCACTACAAAAAACTGAAAATGAAAGACAATAACACTTACTGTTTGTTGTGCCTCTTTGTTCTATATTAAATTAAATAAACAAACATATCCCTCTAAAATAATATATTCTCCAATATTTGGCTACATCATTTGTAGTTTTAATAGTTAGGTGAACTTTACGCAGCCCCCCCTATTGACATTGGCATTGACATTTTTTTGTTTAACCTCAGCCTTTTTAGGTGGAAATTGTATTTAAATAAATCCATAAGATAATAATTATAGGTACCATGTAATTATTTTTAAAAGACCTGTTGCCTGCATTTAATCTTTTTACCCAAATAAATAAACACATTTTTACCAGAAGTTGGTGCCTAAAAACTGAACTGAATCCAGGACATTTAGCTTTTAAAGCTCAAATATGTTACACCTGCTGCCTAATATTTGTGCCTCCGTAATGTTGAAACGAAACCTACGCCCTTGCTCTCCACCTTGCAAAAAAGAGTAGACTGAACGTGTTCAGGGACTTCTTTTGTCGTGTTACTCATAGTTGCATAAAATCCAACACTCCTAAGGTATCTAATCTCAAATGTATAATAAAAATAACAAAGTCATGTAATATAGTAATACAAAAAAACTAATTCTTATCAGGACAGCCAAGCCAGCCAGTAGGCTACGTTTTTACTTTGCTTATGTTTTTACAAGTAGCCTAATATCCAAGCTTTAGTCAGACTTGAGTCCTGCTATAAAGCTTATCCTTAAAAAAGAAATCGAAATACAAAAAAAAGAGAATCGAGAAAATGAAGCCACTTTGGAGCTAAAACACCAAATAATAACTTCTGTTTTTTTTTTCATGGACTGTCTTTCAGGGTTGAACTCGTAAAGGCAAACACTCCAACAGTGCCTGAAGGCAGCAGTGGTCTGAAACTGTGCATCCCTCTCCTCCGGTGCGTGGGGGGGGGGGGGGGGGGGAGTGTTTTTTCTGATCGGCCCCGGGCTGTCCCCTCTCTGTCCGGTCACTCTTCTCAGGACAGACGTAGACTCGGCGCTGGAAATAATGTCCCATTTATCTGTCTGAGTTTAACTGGAGAAGGACTGCACGATGCTGCTGCTCACTTTTCTGATCATTTGCTCCAGTCCGACAGTTCTGGGGCAACAGGAGGAATCCCTGTTTGAAGATGATGTCGACCTCGCAGACTTTGATTTAGACATTGTAAGACTTTTAAAAAAGGACGAAGGTGTTATATTCTGCTGTTTGGATGTCCTTATCTGACATTTTTCTTGTACACACAGGCGCCACGCAGGGTCCCACGGCAGGTGAAAACGATCTTAACCAAGGTAAGATCAAATGTATACGAAGATATTTCTATATTTTTCTTTCTTGATTGAATTTAATTTAGACACTAAAGATTTGAGTTTGGGATAGAGCCCAACTGTAAACAATACCGTAGTTGCAAAGAAAAGGCATTCAACATTTAAAAAATAAAATGTCCTTGAGTCTTGTGCTGGGCTATGATAATTTGGCACATCAACTAAATATTGATGCCATTAACCTGTCAATACTATAGAAGTATAGGAGTTTGAACTCCCAAAAAACATGACTAAATATAACTTGATATCTCTAATACTGACATAGAATGCATGAAAATTTTTCAGTTTTTGGGAGGTTATTGTATCCCCCTAAAGTTGTGCGCATAGGGCGTGACGCGCAGGAGGACCGCCAAGCGCGCAGCTGTGCCAAAGTATCTGTAATGTAATTAGCTCATGGGAAAACATTCCTCTCCCTGTATTTGGTTATTGTTACTATGGAGGGCTTCAGGGTGTCTTAGGGAGAGACATCTTAGCTAATCAAAAATACATCTGAGGTTTTAATACGCACATAAAAGATGCGTAAAGTCTGCCAAATTAGCGTATTTGCTTCTGATGTGAGCGTTTTACCTCTGCAGGAGACTAAGCCTCACATCCAAGAGCTCTCCATCAAGACCACCATCATCTCCCGCTACGCCTTCACCGCGGTGTACTGCGCCATGCTCAACCGACACTCCGCCGCCGCAGAGGGGGTTTTCAGCTTCCAGATCCCCGCCGGAGCATACGTCTCCAACTTCACCATGTAAGAGTCCTGTAGTATGAGCACCAACAATACCTCACAGAACACAAAATCATACTAACATGATCAATGCAATATTAAGACACAAAGTTGGATTTCACTGTAACCTGGACATATTGTAACTCTAAGGAAAATCTGCCTTATTTAAAAATCAAATAAACCCCATCAAAACATAAAACAATGGATATTAAAACATTTGTATTGGTGATTATGAAATATACTGAACCAACTGAGAGCATGGTCAATTTTTACTGGATTTTTTCATTCATAAGCAGCTAAAAGCAACCCGTACTTCAGAATAAAGTGTCAAAAATGATCCCATAAGTAGGGGGGGGGGGATAAATGGCCTAAAAATAAAAGAATTGGACTGTGCCTTATGGCATAGGGCACAGAAAATATGTAAATTTTCCTTTCTGGCCCTATTATTATCGTTTCACACCTACGTTTTATCTTAGGGTCTATAAAAAGGGCCTGACCCCCAGGTTGACAACCATTTTCTCTAATTGCAAAAACAAAGAGAAAAGGCAAGTTGATGAGACTTAAAAAAAACGAGTTGCTAATACAAGGAATCTCACCTCAATGTGTATTATAAGCAAATACAAAAGGCATGTAATACACTTTAGTAAACAAAAACAGAAGATAAAGACAGTATAAATTAAGTTTAACCAAGACAGTCAGCTAGATTTGGCAAGTTTAACTCAAAGCTTTTCCTAATATAAACAACTCATCCTTAAAAAAGGGAGCAGATATTCATATATAAATTACCAAAACCTTCTTGAAAGCAATTAAAAATCTTATCAGCAGAAAATGTAGCACACAATTTTACAATTTAGAGCTATAACACCAAATAATAGCATCATCGGGTGAAGCTGGAAGGATTTACGATGTTTTGGTTTCTATGGAGACGTTAGCAAGGAGACAAGCAAAGGGTTAACCGTCGTTAACACACTCAGTCACCACAGTTCATTCACATGCACCCCCATAAACAGGTAACAACAGGATTTCACCCACAAATTCTGTCTATTGTGTGAGAAAGCCAAGTCTAAACGGGACATTAGGTGGTCCGCAGCAATCTAATCCTCAACCTTTGACCCCCTGAACCAGGATCATCGGAGGGCGCGTCTACCAGAGCGAGGTCAGGCCCAAGCAGAAGAAGGTCAAGCAGGAGAACGGAAAAGCCCGGAACAAAGAGTCAGGTGAAGCAAGGTAAGAGAAACCTGAGTGTGTGTGTGTGTGTGTGTGTGTGTGTGTGTGTGTGTGTGTGTGTGTGTGTGTGTGTGTGTGTGTGTGTGTGTGTGTGTGTGTGTGTGTGTGTGTGTTAAGATAATTTCTCCAGATGCCAGGATTGTCGTATAAATCTGTGAACCAAAAAGTGACATATGGAAGAAATGACATCACGTTTCCAGCTGTCATATGAAAAAGGGACATTTTATTGAATGAGATTTGGTGATTCAGTGACTCCGTTGTAAAGAAAGGGCAGAGGGAGGAAGGAGAGGATTGTGAGATTACACAAAGGCAGTATCAAATGTACGATATCACCTCCTCTTGGGTGCTCCTCCTCCTCTAGCCTAATGGTTACTTGTTTTTTCATTTACAGCTGTGGCTTTACTTTATTTAACCTCCATATTACAGCTGTGGACACTGATGTTGGGAGAGAGCAGCATCGTGGCACACTCATAATAGAAACAGTGGCTAATATAGACAGGTTAAGAAAAAGGAGTGCAATTAAAGAGTAATAAAATGTACTAATACACCAGCAGTAAACCCCAATGATTCTTGACTAAACAACCCAAAGACCACTCCTCAATGTTTACATTTAAAATATTACTAAGTCACTTTGTGTAGAACGAAAGTTTTTCCAACTGTGACCCTATGCGGTGTTAGCTTAAAAAAGGATAGACAGTATTCCACGACAATTGAAATGAAAATATTTAAACACAGTTTGATATTCATACCAAACTAAAAATGAACGCAAATGAATGGCTGATCAGCATATTCAATTACAAACTTGTAAACAATTATGTAAAAGTTAAAAAACTTGCAGAAATTGAAAATCAGAATCAGAATACTTTATTTATCCTAGGGGAGATGTGGCTTGTTGACAGTGGCTTTAAGAGTTAAAACTAAAGTAAATTAAAAATAGTATAAAATATTGACATAAAACGCATCAGAATAAAAGAAAGATATATAAAAAATAAAAATAAAAATATGCACATTGTACCACAAAATAAAACTTGTATATTACAATATAGTATTAATAAGATATTAATGCACGGTTTAAAGGGTACCTGACCATCACTCTGTCTCCTCCCCTCTCCACCCTACAGCCCAGAGCAGGATTTGGAGGTGTTCAGGATGTCGGCCAGCATCCCGGGTCGGAACCGGGCCGTGTTCCTGCTGACGTACGAGGAGCTGCTGCAGCGGCGGCTCGGACGCTACGAACACGTGACGAGCCTGCGACCGCTCCAGCTGGTCAGCCGCCTCAGCCTGGACGTCACCATCGTGGACCACTCCCCCATCACCCACCTCCAGGTGCTGCCGCTGCGCAACGGCAGGAGCACCAACACCGGATCTTCAAAAACACAAGGTTACACACATCATATTTGATTTGATCATATATTTAACGTAGTTTTACTTTTTCAATCTTTGCTTTGATTCTTTTTCTAAAACTTCCTGTCTTTGTGCCTCAGTGAAGAAGGACCCTCCCGTCACCTCTGTGATCAAACAGGAGAAAAACGTCTGCAAGATCACCTTCGGCCCGAACATCGTCCAACAGGCCAAGATCACCACCAACGGCTTGCTGGGAGACTTTGTGATCCGCTACGATGTGCAGAGAGAGATGGGGATAGGAGACATTCAGGTACACTACGATCCCTTTGTAGACTCTGCGTTATATACAGAAAGAGAAGCGAACATTTTGATGATGAGAAGCAGATTGAAAAAGTATTAGTTTCCATATTTTTGCACACTAAATTCCCGTCCAACGTTACACACACTCCTCCACCCACCCGTTAGTGATTCAGTTCTCTGGTTTCTTGCCACCGCCCATCACTCCGCTGCCAAACACTTCGCTGTGTCTGCACTTCTTTTTTAAATCACACCCAACTGATGCAACTCACTGCCTGTTGCATGTCTGTGAACCTCTTTCTTTCCTAGGTTTTAAACGGCCACTTCGTCCACTACTTCGCCCCCAAAGACCTGCCGGCGGTGCCCAAGAATGTGGTGTTTGTGATCGACACCAGTGCCTCCATGGTGGGGACGAAGATCAGACAGGTAAAGCAGCACATTCAGAAAGGTTATCTAGACATCTGTTTGGAAGTTAAAGCTGCTGGAATGTGTTAACAAGTGTTGTTTGTCTTAAGTGATCTGTGTAGGGTTTCCACTCTTAACCAGGAGAACGCTTTGGGATTTTACTCTTGTAAGATCTTGTGTTTTCGCCAGTTCTCGGAAATGTACTAAAAACTCCCAATATGTTTGATATATCATAGATTTTTAAAGGTTTTAGGTTTTTCTTACCTTTAAGGCCGTCATACAAAGCAGATACAAAGTTTTATCGCCTATATATTTCTATTTTAAAGTTAATTTATAGAAGCAATTGCATTTTGGGAATCTGTTGCATCTACACTGAAGGCTGAAACATTTGGTGTATTTTCAAATTAAAGTTTTTCTAACCCTATTGTAGAAAAAAGTTTCAGCTTACTTTTCCAGAATGATGAAGTTATTCCTTCCAATGCACAGCGAGTGACTGTCTTTAAGCAGAATTTCAAAGGCTGTATCAGATCAGAAACCCTACACCCCACCTCCACCCTCCCACACTGGAATATCAATATCAGACCTTTTTCCTCCATCTGCAATAGCTCGATAATCCCCTCGGCGAGACTAACAGCTGATCTCTGCAGCTGCCATGAGCGCAGAAACAGAGCAGAGGAGAGAAAAAACAGATTTTCAGTGAGAAAGAAAAAAGTGGAAACATACAGCACAAGGCCGTGTTGTGAGGGAGGAAGGTCAGTGTCTATGGGGTAATGGAACTTTTTAGACAACAGCACCCTCGACCCCTTGATCCAATCCCCCACCCTTCGCCAACCCCCAGCGAGCCACAGGAACAGAACAACAAGTGTGTTTGATGTGGCTCCACAATAGAGGGTTTCAGTGTGGGTCAATCTGTGGTTCTGACCCCTGCTGTATACAGCCCTTATAGACATTGTAAACCCCCCCAGCGCCAAATTATATATCACCCACGCTCAATGCAGCAAAGATGCTGACATTCTAAAGCTCCATAACAAAAAAGTAGGAAGAAGTCTGGATACTTTTCATGTCTTTTTTTATTTACAAAGACACATTTAAAGCATGATATCTTAAGTTTCAAGGGTCAACATTTATGGTTTAAGCTATAAATGGAAACAGTATAGTACTAGAAGGACACTCAGGAAAGCTGGGCATCCGCATAGGTAGTTTTCCAAAGTGAAAAGTAACGGTGCACCACAAGATCGGGATTGACTCCAATAAATGGATTGGGTTCTTTCTTGGACCGATACTACACTGTTCATACTGTATACAGAACAGAAAACAAATCCCTCGTTGGGGCAGTTCATGATGATTTAAAAAAGGTATAACGCTGAATCATCAGTAAACAATCAAAGGCCTACGGTGCGGGAGGAGAAAATCGTGATGTTTCCGATCAATTGTGTCTGCATGAATGCAAGGATTACGGTCTGTCTAAATGGCCAGACAATGGCAAATACAACTGCAATGAACAGATGAAACAGTTGCATGCCCAAAGACAAGGGGCAAAGAATTACAATCTTAGACCTAAACTCGAATGTCATTCAACATATAGTTTAAGGAGAACCCTAGTCTTCTTCTGTAGGTTGGATTGAC